TACAGTCTTTCTAAAGAGAGAAAGAAGAAATATGACTGCAGTTATTGAGACGTGACCCAGTTTAGAACGGTGCCACGTTCAGGTGACGTTACTCAGGTGTGTCCTCACTCGTTCTGTTAAGGTTAACAACACTTAGAAGCAGAGTCTTGTGTATAAAAGGTAATGAGAAACCAAACAGGTTGTAATAAAGTAAAATATGTCTTCATCGTACTTAAAACACTGATAGATTCTCCGAACGCTCATCTCTTGGCAGCAGCTCCGTCTTCCATCACTTGTTACGGTCGCTCATATAAATTTATACGACAGCCGGAGTGACTTTTACACAGCAAACACTTATTTTACTGCAGCTTCGGTCTGACCTCCATCAGCAGAGCAGGTATCGAGGCGCTGCCACCTGCAGGCGGCTGCAGCAGCTTCCCTCAGCTCAGCCAGAAGAGCTGACTCACTCTTTACTCACATTAATACTGAGTTTGCTAAATAAAAGAGTGAATATGATTAATGCTGAACTGCTGGATCCTGAACTTTCACAAGCTGGTTAGTGTCTAAAAAAAAACAGACATGTTTAATATTAAGATGAACTGGATGGTTTAAGTTTAACAGTTTTCTTGCTTTGTGTGTTTTTTGGCTCAGATTTCACTTTTTGTGTCTGCAGGTGAATTCACTCAAGAAAATGTTCCTAAAAGATTTTTTTTCACACAATCACATCCTAATAAATCCTAATAAATACATTTAAATCTCACAGTTTAGCTCAAATTAATCACAGTCAGGACAGAATTTGATTTACTGTCAGTGTTTATGTTTGTTCAGGCTGGAAGAGAAGACAGACGTCATGCTATTGATGAGTTTTAACATATTTCAGTCAGAGTTCAGACCTGAATCATCCAGAATCTGTGGAGCAAATAAGGACCAGAGCTGCAGATCAACACAAAGCAGTAGAATTATATCATTAGAATAATATCCATACAGTATATATGATTTAAGTTTTAAGTTTTTAAGGTGACAACACAGTAAAAATTAAAGTATTTAGATTTCCTCCAGCAGCGTTGAGCTTTTACTGTTTTGTTCAGCATTTAATGAATTCAGCATCACATTTGATCTTTTGTACTTTTTTATTTCGAGCTGCAGCTGAACAGATATTTAAATACTGAAATAACAACACATCTGAGTTTAAATCACACAACATTCAGGTGATGCCACATTATCACATGAACACAAACATTATTCATGCATTATAAAAACTCAAACGTGGCAGCAGGAGGCTCAGGAAGAACATTAAAATACTAAAATAAAACTGAAATAACAGCAAACATCTGAACAATGAGGCCTGAAGTTTAGAGTCAAACCTTATAAAACCTTATAAACCTTATAAAAGAACAAATGACTGTTGATAAAAGTACATTTGTTTCATGTAAATCTGAATAATATCAGCAAATGTTCCCTACAGCTAAAACGTCTGATTTTTTAAATTATTATTATTATAAATCAATAAACTAGTTTCCTGAATTACTTTCTGTTCCTGCTGCAAATACCACACTGATCATCTCTGCTAGTTATTAGACATGTGAGCTGATTAAAGCCTCAGAAACATCTCATATGTTGTTTAGTGTTAAAGTTGGAGCCTCTGATGAGGAGCAGAACTATGAATCCAGCTCAGAGGAGGTTGGTTTCTGTCTGTTACTGTACATTTTATATGTTCTTGTAGTTTATTGTTGCTGTTTTTTGTGCTGCTGCTGCTTCACTCAAAGTCTTTCTGTTCTGAACTCTGAGGTTCGGTCCAACAGGAATGTGTTGATTATTGAGGAAAGCAGCTCCTGAACGCAGCAGCAGCTTCAGACATGAACTTCTGCGGCCGGAACAACCTTTCCTCCGTGAGACCAGAACCGGACCTCAGAACCAGCCAGAGAAGCCTCCGGTGGAGCAGCCGAGGCCTGGTTCTGGCTGCGGCCTCAGCTCCTCCATCATGTCCGCAGATCTGCGCGCACATTTCTGAGCACAAAGCCCGGTGTGATTTATTCCCACTGGCTGAACGCGGTCCGACCACGTGACGCGGCGCGGAGCCAATGAGCGGCCGAGGCGCCGGTACCGGAGCAGCAGCTTCCTCCCATTCGAGGAGGATGGCCGCGGCCGGAGCTGCCCGGAGAACGTTTTACAGTCGCACTTAAGTGTCTTTTTATTGAAATAATAAAATAAAATGTCGCTGACCAATTACTACTCCATGATGGGGCTGCAGAGCGACGAGCCGTACGCGGCGCACTTCATCCCGGGAGGCCTGCCGCCGCCGTCCGGCTGCTCCAAGCCGGTCCGGCCGGCGGCGGCGGCGGCGGAGGAGGAGGGGACGCCCGGCGCGCACATCCCGGACTTCTCACATTTTTCCAGCAAACCGGGGACGTTAAACGGCTTCTCCCCGTGGACCGGCACCGCCTCCTCCTCATCCTCATCCTCCGGTGCCGGTGCCGGTGGCGGCGCCGCGGTACCGGGCCTCTTCCACCCGCTGCTCAGCCACCACCAGCCCTACTACGGCCCGCAGCCGCTCGGACACGCCGACCCGCTCGCCTCCTCCGCCGCCGCCTCCGACGCCAGGTTCGTGCGCTGCTGGGAAGGCGCGGCCCCGGCACCGGAGAGCGCGCTGTCGCAGGTCTCGGCCACCACCTTCCCCGCGTGCATTCCCGCGCAGAGCGAGCTGCCCGAACCGAGCCCGAGGTTCGACCCGGTGAAGCCCGAGAGCTCGCCGCTGTCCCACGGCAGCCCCGAGGAGTCCGGCTTCTCCAGCCCGGCCGACGTGGTTCTGGAGCGGCTCGGCGCGGTGGACGAGCCCAAGAAGGAGGACGAGGAGCGGAACCGAGCCGCCGCCGCTGCGCCGCAGAATGAGTCCGGTAACAGCAGCAGTAAACACAGGAATGTTTATTAGAGACTTTACAGCCCAATAAACGTCCGGAACCCGTAAAGTACAAACTTTATTGTCCTTTCAAATAATTAAGCTGCTTTTGTTGTTGAGCGGTTCGTTGCTGCAGAGACAAGATCCAGATTCTAACAGAACCAGAACCACGCTGCTGCAACAGAAATATTTAATATCATTTATCTTTAATTTAAATTCAAGAAACCTCCTCTTGCAGCCTGAAGATTGATTTTATGTTTCTGGAGATTTATTAAGAAAAAAACGACCTTTGATTTTTATTATTTATCAGGAATATTAACAGAAATAAAAACAGGTTTATGTGTCAAATTAGGTTTAATTAATCAGGCTTAATTGATTTAGGTTAAAGGATTCCAGACCAACACGTTTTATTGGTAAAAAGTTCATTTGATCAGATTCAAAACTCTAAAAACAAAAACTCTAAATATTAACATTAAACTCATTTCACTTATTAGTTAAAAAAAAAAGCAGTCACTTGTATTTTGATTATTTCCTCATTAACAGATAAAACACTGAAACTTTTATGTTGATTATTCTTAAAATTCGTTCCTACTCGTGTTTCCACTTCATTTAAAAGAACGTTTTTCTAATTACCAGAATTACAAACACACGTTTTTAAAGTTGAAAACATTTAAACTATTTGCTCCAGTTGGATTTTTTTCACGAGATTTTTTTTTCTTCCTGTTTTTGTTTCTGCTGCAGCTTTTAGGAAATTCATTCGTTCAACAACAATGAATCCGTTTTTCATTTAAAAGGATTATTTTGCACCAAATTATCTGAATCATGAACAAGGTTTTAGATAAATATGAAACTGTAGCTGCTCCAGTGTTTAGCAATGAGGCGACTGGAAATCCTAAAACATTGAATTCTTTCATCTCAACATGGATTCAGTTTCAAATCAACTGATGCAGAAATTAGTTTAATTAAACACAATATTAGGTTGATGCAACATGATTACTTTAACTATTAAAAGAACGTTTTCAGCTTAGTTTTCCTGAAGCAGTAACTTGAGGCATTCATGGAGGAAACGCTGCGGTCCGTTTTCTTTCTGAAGGTGAAGCTCAGTGTTGGACCCAAACACAGACTTGTTGCTCTGGAGCTGCTTTTATTTTGTAGGAGGCCAATAAAAGGTTTTATATCTGTTAAATAATTCACTAGATGAGGCAGAGAGCTGCTTTTTATTATTTTTAAACACCAGAAACACAGATTTAGACTGAAAACGATAAATTATGTTCAGCTGCTGTTTTATTTAAATCAGTTAAAAGTTCTGGTTCCGTTTTTAAGGAGCCAAACGTTGCAGCTCATAAAACCTATTTATGATATTTTCAGATTTTTATGTCCATCTTTGAAGTTCTCTGGACTCAGACACACTGAAGTCCTGCAGACACAAACAGAGAACGTTCCCTCAATGTTGGCTAACGTTACATGTTCTAATAGAGTTTTATTATTATTATTATTATTATTATTATTATAATCTAATGTTCAAAGAACGTTTTTGGGCTGTTTCTGATCATGTTGCTGTGAGGTTACAGGTGAACGGAGGCGGTTTAAACCGGTACGTTTAGGTTTGGACTGTTTCTCAGATTATGTTGTTGATAATAAAAGAAGAACGTTCCAGAAGAACGTTCATGTTCATGATCTTCTGTGAAGCGTTACCGAAGGTGGAACCTTTTGTCTGCATGTTTGAAACGTTCTTTAGAGAGCCCATCATAGAACCAAACGTTCTCACAGTGTTACATGATGACTGAAGAAGAACGTTCTTAGTATTTTAAGAACATTTTAGAGACGGGAACATTGTGGCAACTAAAAGAAACTTCTGGCCGAAAACGTAATGAGAACTTTGCAGAACGTTCTCAGAATGTAATGAAAACAGTAAAACTTCAGGAGTTCTTCTGTTGAGCTGCAGTCCAGTCTTTGAAACTATTTGAATATTTAAATCTGGAAAACAACAAACATTCAGTTGATTGAACTTTATTTTGTTAAATCAACTTTAAGTTTTTATGGACACTGTAAAATAATAAATTGGTAAAATATCAGTGAAACTCTGACAGCAAGAGTCTGAAAAAGTTCTACGGTGAAGAACGGTGGATTCCTGGAACGTTCAGAAAATAATAAAAACTGAAAACAGGAAAAGATTTTATCTGATTTACATATTCTGAACAAAACTAACATTTTTCTGTCACAAGTTACTGTTTATAAAAACACTGCGTTTACATTCACAGCTTTGGCCTGTTTTTATGCCAAACATGTAAATTAATACTTAATTTGCTGATTTTACAATAAATTCTCTGGAATTTTGCAAAACAGGTAAATTCTGTAAAATAACAATTAAAAATATTTTCTGTTTTTTCATTTTCAAATATCTGTAAAGTAATGACAACTTTACAAACTGAAATACAGCAAAACTATTTTTACAGTCAAACGTTGTAAAAGAACAAATCACCATTGAATAAAATATAATGTTTGATGTGGATGTTATTCACAGCCTCGGTCTGTTTTCTTTACAGCCAAAATGTAAATTAAGTTTTATTCTGTGATTTTATTAGAAATGATCTGTAATTTTGTAAAAATGTGGAAAATAACAGTTTCAAAAAATCTAATTTTAATTACGAACAAACCACACTTTGTCCCCCAATTGACAAAAGAAATATCTGTAAAATAATGATGTTGCCATTGAGTTCAACTAAAACATTCATTTTACGGACAAACGTGAGAAAAGAATGAATTGTAATTTATAAAAATATTGATGTCCTACGTGGAGGTTATTTATTTACAGTTTTGGCCTCATTTATTTCAGTCATCATGTAAATTATGAGTTTTATTCTGTAATTTTACAGACATTTGCTGTAATTTAGCAAAAAAATGAAAATCTGTAAAATAGCAGTTGATTTTTGCTTATTTTTGAAACTATTTTTAAATCCTTAATATACATTATTTTTCTTTCCAGGAACAGAGAATGTGTGTAGAATGGTATTTTACAAATTTCTGAAGTCAAAAGTTACACGAGAACAAATTACCATTTAAAAAAAAAAAAAAAAAACACAATTTTCATGGACGCTGTTGACAGCTTTGGTCTGTTTTCTTTACAGTCGACATGTAAATTAATACTTTTATAGTGATTTTTTTATTGTGATTTTATTCAATATCTGTAATTTAACTAAATAAGAAAAACAACAATTAAAAAAAATCTACTCTTTTTAATCCCTAATATACTTTTTCTTTCCCCCCAATTAACAGCAAATATCTGTAAAATAATGACGTTGTCATTGATTTAAACTAAATCAGTAATTTTATGGTCAAACATCAGGAAAAAAAAAAGTAATTTATTGCTATTTACAGTTTTGGCCTCGTTTATTTCAGTCATCATGTCAATAAAGTTTTATTCTATTCTATTCTAGTTCTGTGATTTTACAGGTATTTTCAGGTGTTTTCTGTAATTTAACAAAACAGTGAAACAAAAACCTGTAAAATCACAGTGAATTTCTCCACATGTTCCTCTGAAGCAGTTCTGACCTGTCTGGGTCCAGATGAGCACATCTGGCCACATCTGTGTCTGACACTCTGTGTTTGTTTCTGCAGAAAACCCGTCGGCCAGCTGGATCCACGCCAAGTCGACCAGGAAGAAGCGCTGCCCGTACACCAAGCACCAGACGCTGGAGCTGGAGAAGGAGTTCCTGTACAACATGTACCTGACCCGGGACCGGCGCCTGGAGGTGGCCGGCCTGCTCAACCTGACCGAGAGGCAGGTCAAGATCTGGTTCCAGAACCGCCGCATGAAGATGAAGAAGCTGATGATCCGCGAGAGGAGGAGCATCAACGAGTGATGCCCACCCGGGAGGGGGCGCTGTTACTAAGCAACCGGAGCCAACATGGCCGCCTCGGACAGCTGAGACCCGGATGTGACGTAACGCTCCCAGAAAGCTCTCTTGTGTTTGTTCTTCTCATGTTGGACGTTTAAAACTGAACCCCGGACTAAACGGTGAAACTCGACAGCTCGGATCATCGTAAAGCACATCTGGATCAGCCTCATCTCCTCACCAGAACTCACCAGAACTCTCTCAACACGAGCGCGTTTTCATCATTCATCACAAAGATCTGCCTTCAGTGAGCCTCGAGACAAGAAACTGAACAAAGCAGCTTGAAGATTAATAATAAAATAAGTCAGAAAGACAAAAGATGTGACAGAAGATCAGCCGACGGTGAAACAGTGGATTTAAAACAGACTCAGTGTTCTTGTTGTTGTTGTTGTGCTGCTAGAAAAGCATCTACACACAAAAACCAGACAAACAAACAGAAATGTGAATCTGTACACTCACAAAACACACGTTGACTGGATTTAAATCAGCAAAAATATAAATATATAAAAGTATATTAATGATTGAAGATGACGATTGATTTCACCAGTTTTGGTCAGTTACAGAAAATAAAAACACCGAACAAAGTATTAATTTACATGTGAACAATTAAAAATATATATTCAATTGTTCTTTTTAAATCTGTGACTGTAAAATTAGACGATTTTATTGGATGAAATCTGTTAAAAGCATCATTATTTTAACAGATTTGAGTTGTTATCTTACTGTTTTCACAGTTTTAAACATCACATTAGTCCACAGTTGCTGCAAAAATGTAAAACTTCAGACTTCATTTGATTTTTTTTTTTTACAGAAATGGGGAAACTGACTGAATGTGCATTTTTTTAACAGAGTAGAAGGAGGTCAGAGGTCAGAGGTCAGAGGTGGCTCTAACGCTTCATCACGTCTCATCACGACACAAACGGGAACCAAACTGTGAATATCTGTGTTCAGGTTTTTCTAAGATGAACAGTTTTAATGAACCAAACAGAAGTTGGAACAACCACAGTTGTGTGTTTGTTGTCGGTTTGTGTCGCAGCAGCTCTGGTGTCCCTGAACATGAGAAGGCTGACGTGGTTTTTATAAACTCTGCATGTTTCCTGTTGTGTTGTTGTTGTTGTTGTTGCTGTTGTTGTTGTTGTTTCTCTGTTGTTGCTGTGAGTCTGTCCTGCAGATGTGCTCATGCTCTTATTGCTGTAAGCTGCAGTCTGCTTCCTGTTTGGTCACGTGTGGAATCGATGCACAAACCGACTTCTTGATTCTTGATTTTATCTCCAGTCAGAGGATCGTGAGGAGCTTCAGAGCTTCTGTCTGGAGGAGACTTCAGGCTACGTTAGCCTCCAGGACGGAGCCGACCTGCTGCTCAGTGCTTTTATAAGTGAAATAAAACAACGTTATTGTAACAAACGCCTCCTGACTCCTTTTGTTATGTTAGATTTTAGGGATTTTATACAAAAATACACAAAAATCCTCATAAAAATGCACCAATTTCACCTGGAACTGATCAGAAAAGTTCCATTGTGAGTTTAACTAAAAACTAATCAGAATTTCAGAAATATTTCCTTTTTATCTCAGAGATGAAACTGTTGAGATGAAGTTTAAAACTGTGAATATATTTCTAAAATTATTAGAGACAAAACAGAAAAACAAGTGTTGGTTCTGTAGTTTTTGTTAAGGACAAATATCTTGTATAATAAATGTTTTACAGCAAGAATGAAAGTTTGAATCAGTTTATATCATCTGGAAGTTTCAGAATACAGTCTGAAATATTACATTGTTTATTATTTCTAGATATCTAATTATATATTATTAGTAATATTATTACATCACTGGTCGTTTCCTTGTTTTTACATGTTTGAAAACACTAAATAGTCAAAAAATAAAAAAAAACCCTGATGTCATGAAAATTAATAAAGATAAAAAATTAATTCTGGAAAACAACAGTATTTTCATTCTTAGTTATTTTCTGTTATTTTGGTTCCTGAGCTGCTGCTTTTATATTATTTGAATAAAACCAGTCAGTTTTAATTAAACACAACGAAGGCTGCAGGACACTTAAATCAAGCTGTTCAGCTGCTAAACGTTGTTCTAATAGTTGACTTAACGTTGCATCATGTGTTGAACTTTAACTCATTTAAACTAGTTGAGATAAATCAATGAAACTTTTCTACTTTAACTTTGAGACTTGAGCTCATGTTTATGGAAAATCTTTTGAAATGCAAAAGTCAAAACAACAATAAACTTTAAAAACGGTTTCTCCTCCTCCTCCTCTTCCTCTTTCCTTCCTTCTCCTCCACTTCTTCCTCAGTCCTCTTCCTTTCCCTCCTTCTTTCCTCCTTCCTTCCTTCTCCAAGTCTTCTTCTTCCTCCTCGCTCCTCCCTCACTCCTCTTCCTTGTTCTCCTCTTCTTCTTCTTCTTCTTCCTCCTCTTCCTCTAGCCTTCCTCCTCCTCCATCATTCCTCCTCCTCCTCCTCTTCTTCCCTCCCTCTTCTTCCTCCTCTTCCTCTCTCCTTCCTCCCCTTTCTCCCTCTTCTCCTCTTCCTCCCTCTCCTCCTCCTCTTCCTCCCTCCCCCCTCCTCTTCATCTTCCTCCCCTTTCTCCCTCTCCTCCTCCCCCCTCCTCTTCATCTTCCTCCCTCCTCTTCTTCCTCCCCTTTCTCCCTCTCCTCCCTCCTCCTCCTCCATGTCGTAAAGCAGCAGCGGCTGTGTTTGGAGGCTAAACGTGACTTTCACTAACAGCCTCCATAAAGTGATTTGCTCCAGACTGCGGCCTTTGAGGAGCTCCTCCTGCAGCAGCTGAGTGTTAAAGTCATTGTCTGCAGACACTTTGACTCTCGGACACTTGGAGGGAAAACACGCTTCGTTTGGAGGATTTTCTGCTTCGGAAAAAAGACGCATTCACCGTCTCAGGATTCACGTTTTTAGATTTCTGTGCATCCAAAAATAGAGAAGCTGACCTTTAACTGAGACGCCTCTAATTTATTCAAGCACACACACACACTCAATGCCTGCATGTAAGTTTGTTTGATTTTTTATGCATTTAAACCTGCTTTTCATTTCTTAAATTAGAAAAAAACGGAATTTACGCACGAAGGCCGCAGCAGCTCCAAAGCAGAATGAAGAACGACGTGTCGGTGTTCAAACGGAGAGAAAAGAGAAATAAAATACATTTATTCATCTTTAAATAAACGCAGCAAAGCTCGACGAGAAGCAGCAGTTAAATCTCACAGAATAAATTCAAACTCGCAGAATTTAAAATTGAACTGCAAAAATTAAAAACTAAAAGAATGTGCAGCAGAAATATTAAACAGAGGATTTTAAACTGTATTTTGATCCGGATTTAATCACGTCTCCTGCAGTTTCTTTATTAAAGCTCAAAGGAATCCAGAATGATTCAGAAACAGAATAAAACTAAACTGCAGAATATTTATTTAATATATTCATGGTTCAGTACTATGATAGTATGAGGTGGTACTTCAGTAGGATTTTACTACTTTCTTTTCTACGTATTTGCAGCAGCTTCAGGATTTAATCTCTTTGTTGATGTGATTTATTCTCATCCTGTTTCATCATCTTCTGTCTTCACATCGCTGCTCCTTTAATCAGTTTAAAAATATTTTTCAACCTCCTGATTTAATGAAATTAAATAAATAGAAACATAAATGATAAAACTAAAGTCAACGTGGAGCCAGAATGAAGCAGCAAATGACCAGTTTTTTGTTCCGCAGTTTTAAAATCTAAAGCTTCAGCAGCTGCGCGTGTCCGCTAGGTGGCGCTGTGCGCGTTCATGAGCCGCAGGAGAACCGACGAGCAGCAGAAACACTGATGGTGTCCAAATGATGGAGTTTATGAAGGTAGAAAATATTCACAGGTTCAAGTGTTGATGTTAAATATAACCGATCAACAGATCAATAAGTGGATCGATCAGCTAAAGTGCTGCAGCTGATATTTACAGATGAAACACAGAAGTGACGCAACAAAGATGTTTCACAGTGAAAAATAGAATTAGATATTAATATTAGTGTGTGTCTAAATCCTGTATGTGTGCTTTACATTATTAGATCACATTATATTATATATTCTTATATTATATTATATTATGTATTCTTATATTATATTATATTATATTATATTATATTATATTATATTATATTATATTACATTATATTTAATTCTTCGTGACATTAGTTCTTGTCTTTGTTTTTCTCCACTTTTTCTGATTTTCTTCAGTTTTTACTGATTTCAGAATCCTGTTGGAAAATACCTTTATTTTATTTTTATTTGTGCCTTTATTAAGTCTAATTAATGCTGACGTTCACTGAAGCTACTTAAGCATCCGACCAATAACAGAAAGGTTGTTCACATTAATATTTGTCTCTTAGAGCATCAAGTTCAGACCTTTTGAATTTATTTCCTGTTCACAGGAAAACATTTATCAGTTTATTTACTTGTTCAGTCTTTATTTTACCTGCAGTGATGAAGTCTGACTATTTAAACACCTTAAAGCTCATTTTTACAGAATCTGAGCCACTTTGTTCAAACCGTCAAAGATGTTTGTGTTTTATTTAGTTTGTTTCCTCTGAGATCTTTATCTAAATTACAACATTTTATTCTTCTAAAATGTATAAACAGCAAATTACAGATAAATAATAAAGTGTCTGTAATATTTATGGAGCTGAACTTTAACATTCAAAACATGTGAAACAATAAAAGACAGTTTGATGAACTTTCATGAACAAAGTCTGACAAACTAGTTTATTAATTAGATTTCAGATTCACTCAAAGCAGCTGAAGACAAACAGCAGTTCACTCGTTTACCTCCAACGAGGTTCAGATGTGACTGATTTAAGCTTTATTATAAAAACAGAACACGACTGTCAGAACTGACTGATGACCTGTTTCAGCTGCAGACGCTCGGTTCTTTTATGGTTCTTTTATGGTTCTTGTTCTGTTAAACTCGTGTTTAAACTTTAAACGACAGAAACGTTGAAGTGAAACCAGCTGGTGATTTATTTATCTGGAGTTTCTATCAAATCAGTCAGAGTTTGAAGGAATCAGAGCTCAGAACACTGAAGACTAAAACACAAGACAACTGATTAGTTCCTAAAGAAGTTCTGCTGCTGGACTCACAACAGAACCTCTAGTGATCTGGTTCCAGGTTCTGGTTCCAGCTACGTTCAGAGTCTGAGTGATGCAGTGGCATTAATATTTATTTGGGTTTTCTGGTGATTTATGGAGCTTCATTAATGACTTTTTCTCCTGAGCAGAAACTGAAACATTAAAGCGTCGATCGAATGAATCATCGTTAAATCAGAAATAAATCAAATCACCTGTGAAATGTATTAATCTGCCTCCAGCTGGAAATAAAAACCAGAAACTCTGCTTTTTCAAACTTCTACAGTAAAAAATAAACGTGTTTGTATTTTCATAAAAAGTAATTTGTTGTTTTACAACATTTGACCATAAAATGTGTTTTTTAAAAAACTTTATTTCAACTTTTTCTTTTCAGATATTTTACATATTGACTGTAAAAACAAAAAAGGCCAAATGGTCAATTGTTCTTTTAGAACGTTTCACTGAGAAGTCAAAATATGTTTTCCTCAATTTAAATCTTTTAAACATATCATTAGTTTACAGACATTTGCTGCTATTCTC